AGGTTACAGGATGTTTCCCTGCTGCTCCCAGGAGGTCCCAGGTCAGCCTACAGAAGTAACAAGCTGGGAGTCTTCCTCCTAGGGAAAGGCCTCTTTCATCTCTGCAAGGCACAGCCAGAAGCTGACTTTACAATTTCCAGCCTGAGAAATAATAGATGAGAAAGCAGAAGACGAAAGAAAAGGCCAGCTAGATCACGCCAGGATATACGCTAAGCTGATGGATATTACGTATTAATGCAAATGCACAGCGTAGAGAATTCAGTAAGGAAAAAATGTCTCACAGATTAATTCTTTTTCAAAACTACTAGGAAGAGTTTATCAGCAAACTCCTATCGGGCAAAGGAGACAGAGAAGAGGATGGCCACACCTGACTCAGGTAACAGAACTCTGGTATTTCCCCAAGTCCCTCTTTAATAAATTCAATATAGGCATTACATTAAATAAAAAGTTTAGATTAAATTTTTAATAACTCACTAAAAGCGTTTCAATTCCCTACGGACCGCACACGCTAGCAGCTTTCGTGTGCATAAAGAATTAAGCACTTTAATATAGTTCTCCTTTTTTAGCGTTGCCATCTACCAGCTAAGAGAGGATTAAATCTCAGCCCGGCACTTCCCTTTCCTCCCCAACCCCTCTGAATTGCAGCTATTTCCTCCAGCCCAGCCGAACGCTTGGGTTTCATTTTAACAAAGCACGGATGAGCTGAAATAAATGGCCTTGGCGCGACTTTCTCGTTTAAAGGAGATCTATAGATCACTGAGCAGGAACCCAAAGTGGTGATATAAATAAGATCTACCACTTCTGTGACGCAAATGACTCCACAGGCGTGACAGGGAAAGACAAAGCACCCCAAAATGATACAAGCACTTGAAAAAAGCTGGAAACCCTTGAAGAGAAGAGTGATTATGCAGCACCTCACGTCTACGGTAACAACTGCAGATAATTGCAAGAGGGAAACTCGTTTTCTACCGAAGCCATCGGCGCTTTGCTTACAGAAGCGGCATCGATATCAGGTCCGGGTTAGCGTGCGAGCCGGAAGAAACGTTTTCAGATCTTTTTAGTTACAGCTAAGGAAACCTCTCAAGCAAAAAGCAGAATTATTTGGAGATTTAACAGCCGAAACAGAGCAAACCCCGCTGCTGGAGAAGCCGCAGCCGCTCCTCAGCGGCGTCATTCTGCCCCGACGCTGGGCTGGGGGACACCTCGCTGGGGGAGCAGCCACGGTAACTCGTGGTCCAAGGGAGTCAGTCTTGGAAAACACTGAGGCGATCAGATGATGCGGTTATTTCAAACAGCTATTTGGTTTAGAAAATAAATACCTATCCTGAGTCACTGGGAGAAACTGGGAGATCAGATTTCCTCCCAGTGGTGGTTATACCTAACTTCCGTAACTTAACACGGGAATTTTATACACCCTCACAACAGGCTTTCCCTTCAAAAAGCATTGTAAAAGTCCATTTTTCCAACCAAAACGTCCTGGCCATGCTGCAGGCACAGCAATTTGCACAGCTAAGTGCACAAGTCGATTTGTTAATGTAGTTACCAACCCGAAATCCCCTGACACGAGAAAGGAGAAGTTTTATTTCAGTAGAGAAAGTTGTACCTGTTCAAACACAAACGGGTTTGGAGTTGAGAACGTTTATTTTACCTTCTCAAAAGGCAGCTTAGCCCAAATATTGGTCAACGGTTTACCTCACGTACAAGCATTTACAAACCGGATCACAGCGCAGTTTTGGCTTTTTATTTATCCTTTGCTTTCTTAAGATGAGAGAGTAGACCTCAAGTATGTCTTGCAACCCCCTTTGGGTTTTGTGTGTTTGTGCACAGATAAATACTGAGCTGCCCATGCACCAGCACTACAAATGGGTGCCCTATATCACTGACACAAAATTTTACTGATTTTTGGGGTTTTTTTTTTGCTGTTAGGTAGTAGAAGTGCTGCCCTGAATGCAGCCAGAACCCAGTTCTTTCTCTCCAGTTTCTACACAAACTTTAAAAAAAAATAAGCAAGTAACGCACTTGATTTTCCAACCAGCGGCCCGTTAATACAAAATCCAAGCAGAGAAAAGGAAGGAAATAAAGCACAATTCTTCCTGTCCCTATCACCGCTAAGCGAATTCTGCTGTTCATATAAACACACCTGGTAAGGTTTTGGGGGTATTTGGCGCATTCTTTAAAACAATTAAGTAGAGAGTTTCCGCAGACACGCTCCAGGTCTTTGTGCAATAACCAGGATCATTAGCTCCGGAGTTCAGGACAGTCCTGCCCCAGAGATGCAGGACCACAAAAAAAAAATTTCTCCACGCCAGACCCAGGACCACTTGCCTGCCTGCTGCGTGGGGGCTGATGCCGGCGGGGCAGGAGGGGCTGCTCCATGCTTAGCAAAATCCCCGCTTTCAGCTCCTCCAGCAATCTCCGCCCGGTTAGACTTCAACCCTACCGCTTTCTGCTCATACATTTATTTTATTACCTTTTCCAAGTGCCCGCGAGAGTTTGAGGGCCTGGTGAGTTTAATACTTGTTCCTGAAAGGCTTTGTCAGCAGCAGCTCTGGCGGTCGCTGCCGGGATGGAGCTAGTCTGGCTTTCGAGGGCTCCTCGGTAGATCTGCAATGTGGTTTGACTTGCAGTTTCTTTTCACATGGTTTTTAAATACCCTCTGCCTATAATTTCTCTCTCCACACACCCCCCATTATTTTCCCCAGCACCAGGTGTTACAGACACCCTGTCCTACTCCTGAGTGCAAGCGCACTAACTGCTGTCCCTCAGTAGTAAAAATAACAGGTTTTACACAGCAGAGGTCGGGTCTGAGAATTAAAAACCACTACCCTTGCATTTATCACACCCAATATGCAAGAAACAGATGCACAAGTACATCATTATTATCCTGTCAAATAAGCGTTCCTGCTGCCCGCTCCCATTTCAGCCCAAGATACTCACTCGGATTTAAGTGGGAATTTAAAAGTAGGGGAGGGGTACAGGGCTCCAGACTGCAGAATCCCTCGATTTCAGGATTACACCAACAAAATGATGCTCTGAGATGAGAAAAATTTTGGCTTTGACATAAAGGCTCACTTCTCTCCTTGGAAATCCTTAGCGTTTGCTGCTTACGATACCCAACACCAAAACCACTCTTAAAACACACCGCATTGGCCTTGCGGAGCCAGCACCACGACTAGCACTTTTCAGTATCGCATACAAGCGCATTAAAGAGGGATTTATCGTTGCCTGCAACACAATTAGCATGAGAACAACCCAACTTTTTCAGCTTTTTCCGGCAATTTCCACATCCCACACTTACCAATCGGCCGGGGAGCGCTGCCAGCTCGCCGGGCTCCATCACACCGAGGAATTCACGGAATAGCAATACTCGGAGAGAGGAGAATCGTTCATCAAAAAAGAATCTGTATGTTGTCACCCCATGTGTTTAGCACTTTCTTTAATGAAAGGCGTCTGCAGCAGCAATGGAGATAAAGTTTTTGCTCAAGATTATTAATCGCAGGCATTTTGCCTGGCCCAGTTTCAGAAGCAGCAAACATACATCTCCCCGACCTACGTAATTACCAACGCTCTTCAAGCAACAAGCACTTTAGAGTACCTATAGATGTTTTCTTAGCCTAATGACATTACACACTTTGGCAGAGTCGTTAATATCTCGCCAGCCTCATCTAACCTTTGAGCTGGGTGGAAAGTGGCCAAAGTACAATCCTTTGATTCCTCCACAGCAGAGCCTGGCAGCGATGCATCACCCACTGCAATCCATCCCCGCGACACCGCGGGGACACCGGCACAGAGCAAACACAAACCCCCTGGTTTGACTGAAACGACGGTATTTTCCACAGCTAAAAGGTTTGCTTTGCGTGTCAGCTAAACCTTAAAACAAATGAACTGCCCCTGGAAAACCTCTGTTATCGTGACTCTGACTTGCTTTAGTTGCTTGATGAAGACTTAAAACGGTCAAACTGTCTGGGTAAAAGAGTCGTCAGGTGGAGAGAGAAGGTCTTGTTGGGCCTCTACCCTGTAGCAATGACAGAAATGCAATTTCCTGCCAGCCAGAAGTTTGATTTTCAAAATCAGTGTGTCAGAATTTAATGCGCTGACAGTTCCTGTCTGAGGAAAATTGCTTTCAGGCACTAAACATCTGGCTGTTACTGCCCGCTTCCAACACTCGCAGCCAAGCCGACACCAAACATCATTCAGGGACGAAGACACTTTAAGCAAGCGCAATCAAGCAATTATTACTTATTTTAAAGTGAGAACAAACTCACTGCCAATCTTCAAGCAAAGATTTGCTCCCTAAATGCTAAGGACAACGCACTGAGGCAAACCAAAGGTTTGCAACACCTGACGCCAAGGCTCTGTGCTTTGATCCCAGCCTGTGCTCCCGACAGCCCTCTTACACCGATA